TTGTAATCCCATTCGTTCATTCTCCAAGAGGATATGATTATTTCAGAAGGTTGGTGTATATATTCTGTTCTCTTTGCGTTGCGCGCCTTTTTACCTTTACCTTTTTCTTTGAATTTCTCATAGAGTGAACTGACTAAGGAATGAGCCTCTTCGCGATCCTTCTCCGTAAAAGTGTAAAAGTTAAATGGCAAAGATTTGGAAGTCGTAGGACTAGACGCGTATTCATTTTTATACAATTGTCAAGTTTAGTTGATAAATCCCAAAAAAGTAACACCACTTAAGTACCTTTGCTCGTAAATTTGCGTGTCCATTCTCTTTTTGGAAAGTTTGCGTTATCCTTTAAAAATTCCAATGAATGTAAAAAGAAAAGAGAGTTTATAATAGGTATCGCGTAAAGTTATTAGGCGGAAGTTCTTGACTGAGTTGTTGAATCTTAAATAGAAATTCGCGATAACTGCGGTTCGAACTGCGAACTGCGGACTGCGGACTGAACTTCCATCTTTCATGTGACTGATTGATAAATACTGTACGGGTACGTACGCAGAAAAAAATAAGCGGGTAAGCATGAGTGATAAATTAACAAGAATTGCAATTGTCAGTTCCGACAAATGCAAGCCAAAAAAATGTAGACAAGAGTGTAAAAAATCTTGTCCCGTAGTCAGAATGGGTAGGTGTTAAGCGTAACATACGCGAAACCTGAAATTTCAGAACGATATTGCTGATCATTATTTTTTTCCTTTAGGAAAACTTTGCATCGAGGTGAATCCGGACAGCAAAGTCGCCTTTATTTCTGAAGAGTTATGTATTGGTTGTGGTATCTGCATAAAGAAGTGCCCATTTTCTGCGATAACGATTATCAATCTTCCTACTAATCTCGAGAAGGAAGTTACCCACCGATATTCAGCCAACTCCTTTAAACTTCATCGTTTACCCGTTCCTAGGCCAGGTCAGGTTCTTGGGTTAGTTGGTACTAATGGTATTGGAAAAAGCACGGCACTTAAGATTCTGGCAGGAAAGCTGAAACCTAATTTGGGAAGATTCGAGGTGATTAAGTCGCTTGGCCTGTGGTCACGTTGAATCGATGCATGCTAATAAATCTTTTAAATCAAAGGAACCGCCACCGGATTGGCAAGATATTTTGAAGTACTTTCGCGGTTCTGAACTGCAAAACTACTTCACCAAAATCTTGGAAGACAATTTAAAGGTAATAATCGAGAATTCATTATAATATATCCAATTATTTTCGGAGATCTTCTTTTAAATCTGAAGAAAACCTTCTTTAATTAAGGCCGTTATCAAACCCCAATACGTAGATCATATACCCAAAAGTTACAAAGGCTCGGTTACAGATCTGATCGATAGGAAATTGGAACGAAATAACAAAGCTGAAATGATCAAAGCTTTGGATCTGCAAGACGTCTTATCTCGCCAAGTTGGTGAATTGTCTGGTGGAGAATTACAACGTTTTGCCATCGCTGCCGTGTGTGTTCAAAATTCAGACATGTAAGTATAGAAAAATTTTGGATCCTCTAATTTTTTCTTCGTTGATCATATGTCTAACATACATCCACGCAAAAACTTATTTCAGTTATATGTTTGATGAACCATCATCGTATTTGGATGTCAAGCAACGTTTAAATGCTGCCAAAACAATAAGATCTTTATTAAAACCAGATTGGTAGTTACCATTATAATAGATCTACTTTGTTTATACCGTTAACCTTAATTACTATCATTGAATACTTTTTCAATGGGGAATCAGCTATGTAATCGTCGTTGAACATGACTTGTCGGTTTTGGATTATCTTTCTGACTTCATCTGCGTACTTTATGGAATGCCATCTGTATACGGTGTTGTTACAATGCCTTTCTCTGTACGTGAAGGTATTAATATTTTTTTGGATGGGAAAGTGCCGACAGAAAATTTGAGGTTCAGGGATGAATCCCTAACATTTAGACTAGCTGAAACAGCTGAAGATGAGAAAGAAGTTGAAAAACACAGAAGATATAGATATCCCGCGATGACCAAGACCTTAGGTACTGTCTAAGTTATAAATGGAGATATATGTCCTTTAGTCGACCAAAGAAAACCTTCAATCTTTTTTTTTTATGAAAACAGGTGATTTTAAGCTGAGTATTGATGCCGGAGATTTTACAGATTCGGAAATCATTGTAATGCTTGGAGAGAACGGAACAGGAAAGACTACATTTATCAAATTATTAGCTGGCGGAATGAAAGCAGATGGGGATCAACAAGTTCCTGAATTGAAAGTTAGCTACAAACCACAAAAAATTTCACCAAAGTCCACGGGCACTGTTCGCATGCTCTTTATTAAGAAGATTAAAGCCATGTTCATGCATCCACAATTCCAAACCGATGTCGTTAAACCATTGCAAATCGATAACATTATTGACCAAGAGGTTTCGAACCTGTCTGGTGGTGAACTTCAACGTGTTGCAATTGTACTTGCATTAGGTCAGCCAGCTGATGTTTATTTAATTGATGAGCCGTCAGCCTATCTGGATTCCGAGCAACGTATTGTTGCAGCAAAAGTTATTAAAAGGTGAATTTTAAAAGATTTTTTTTTTTTTCTTTTTTAATCTAAAAATATTCATCTATCTTATAACCATTTGAAGATTCATTCTTCATAACAAGAAGACTGCATTCATTGTAGAGCACGATTTTATCATGGCCACATATCTTGCTGATCGGGTTGTTGTATATGAAGGAACTCCATCTGTGGAAGCTTTGGCCAATGCGTAAGTCATATAGTTGGATCAATTTGATTAGTAACAGAATTAACACATACTGCCGATGAACTTTATTAGGCCGCAATCTTTATTATCGGGAATGAATAAATTCCTATCGTCACTTGAGATCACATTCAGACGTGATCCGACAAACTTTAGACCTAGAATAAATAAACTCGATTCTCTTAAGGATAAAGAACAAAAATCAAGTAAGTTCATAAGGATTAATATTTGATGCATAGTTGGTAGGACGTTTTTTTTTTTTTCCTAACCAATGCTCACTTTAGGTGGAAATTACTTCTTTTTGGAAACCGAGGCTTAATAGAGATATTTAAAATCAAATCATAATAGTTTGTTAATTTTTTAATAATAAATAAATATGTATTTCTTATTTTAATAATCTTTTCAACAAAAAGCCATGTGTGGCTTGGAATAAATATAAAAATTAACGATTAGATTTAAATATGTTGACTCCATGGTGTCTAATTTACAAAATATCTTTGTCATTTTTGGTTTTCCTACTTTTCTGCCATTACCAACATTTCAGTTATCCTTTGGTAAATAACACTACCAAGAGTAAAATATTGTTCTCGCGTGGGGTCAAACATGGTGGTGTGGGCGTCAACTTCATCTGATGCTGTACATTTGACTGGTGTGAAATATGACTTCACCTCTGGTGGAGGTGGTTTGATAAATGTACGTTCCGAGGAAAAAACGTTTGATGGTATCTACCGAATAATGGTTAATGAATTTTTCTTATCGAAAAATATGCTTATAAGGGATAAATAATTACCGTTGTGTAATAACAATGGAAATAAAAATTTGACAATTCTATTAAATCATTCACCCTGATATAGTATAAAGAGATTAATAAACGAATCACTTCAGGATGATAAATAAAAGCATTACCTTTTTTCCAACTCTTCTTGATTCCACAATACACCAACATATTGCAAATGATCTCTAATCCAACATTCAATTTTTTCTTTCTGCGCAACAACAGTTCCTGCTACTGCTACCGCACCTACTAAACCTATACCATAACCCAACAATTTGCCATATCCACTTGATTGTGTATCAGAAGTAGATTTAGTGGATGTAAAACTTGACATGAGCCCTGCAGTCGTCGCAACTCCCGCAAATGTTGAGTAGGCATTATTAAATTTCTGATTTAAGTCATAAGTTCTATCTACTACAAGTTTCGGAAATAAATCTTTTTCTAAGCCATAATACGGCGTGTCAAAAGCGAATAATCCAATTATGTTTGGCTTAGGAGCTGATTGTGATTCATATTTGATAATTGTATCTGCGGCTTTTAAAATATATATATATATATTTTTTTAATTCAACCTGAACTTCAATTACCGACCGATAAATACAAAAGAAATAAAAATAAGTAATTACCTAAAATTCCGCCCATCGAATGCCCACACAGACAAACCCAAACTACCCCTCTTTGGTCAAGTCTTTTAATTTCTTCTTCACGTACTCTAACTGTTTTTTCCAGCCAATTACAAAACAACCCTACGGAGGCTTTTAATTCTCCTTTCGTTTCATACCGTGGATATATTATCGATTCTGTGTCTATCTCATGTCTTGATTCTGTTAGGATTCTTTGAAGGCGTTCTGGAAAATCCTAAAAAGAAAAATTTTTTCAATACATAAATTACAGGAACAAAATGGTTATTGTGTTGAGTAAAACACTAGATTTATGAATCACCAAGAATGTTTTGTCGTCTCCTTTAAAGCCGTGAATAAAAATCAGTAAAAGCTTATTACGTTCTTCTATTTTCCTTGTTAAGAAAGACATCACGAAAAATTATTAAGTTACCTTTAATCAGACTAGTCCATTTTATTTTTTAACCTATCCATTTAATTAAATTTATTATATACTAAAAAGGAATGATTTATTATATAATTTAATGCTGGTCTTATCAACACACGAGGTGCTCCGTTCACGTTTCTGTCTATGATACATTACCCCTTTACATTTGATAACTTTTATCATCAATTTCATTTTGAATAATAAATAATCTTTGTTTCATTATTATTTTGTAAAGCTTATTTTTTAAATTTCTAATTTTTTAAAAATTTTTATAGTTACTTTATTCAATTTTTTTTATTAAATTATAGAATTATTAAGCATATGAATACATGTAAAGTATAAATCTTTTCAATCCAGTTTACTGTCAACAGTCAAAACCTCTAGATGTGATTTATAGAGGTGATATATTGTTTTCCTAATGAATAGGATTAAGATCCAAAACTTATAATAGGATAATAACCTGTATAAATTCAAATTATATCAACCTTTTCTTGCAGAAACTATATAAGGAGAAAGAGATAAAAAAAAAGAATTTTAAAAAAGAAAAAAAAAATATAAATGTATACAAAAAAAAAAAAATACTAAAAAAAAGTCATTATTATTTTATTATTGAAAAGATTATCTTGATAAATCAAAATTCAAGTCTTTTATAATTACTATTATACTTATTTTTCATTACTTATAATTAGTCAAACTGTTTAATTTCCATTGAAATAACAATATTTAAAAATATTTAAAGATATTTTTAAGAGAATATTTCTTAAAACTTTATACTTAAAGATTTTTAATTAGAAAAAATATTAATTTTCTATTATTGATTTTTCTTTTAAATTATATCTTTCAGAATTATTGCTTTATTCAATTAGTAAATAGTTTTAAAATACCTTTTTTTAATTATTTTCAAAATAAATATTATTATTTTAACTTGTTATCAAATTGGAATAAAACTTGAATCTTGTATTTACTTTCTATTTTAAAAAGAATAAAAAACAAAAAAAAAAGAAAAAACAAAAAAATATTATTTCTTCTTACTTACAACTTCAATTTTACCAAATATTCCTATATTATTTTTTCTATTAAAAACTGTTCAATACTTTTAGAAATTAATTATATTATTGATTTGATATTATATAATTGAAAACATATAAAAGAACATATCTTACTTATTTTTTTTGTAACTAATATAATTAATCAATTTATAATCTTAATCAATTATTTTTCAAGAGATTTGCTATAACTAAAATTCAGAATCAAATTGAGATAGGCAAAATTCTTTAGAAAATTAGAAAAAAAAAAACATGTTTGAGAAAAAAGAAGTAGAAAATTAAAAAAATAATAAAGAAACTAAAAACTTTTTTTTTTTTTATTTCTTTGAATTCTTGAATCTTTTAAAAATCTTTAAAAAATATTTTTTTTTGTTAGTTTTTTTTCTAAAAAAGTATTCTTGCTATAAACTTTTTAAATAGATTTTTTGTATTAAGTTATAAAAATAAATAAGAAAAGTATTTTGAAAAGAAAAGGATAAACAAGTAATAATTGCTATTCACTTTACTAATTAAAAAACTAATATTATTAAAAAAAGCATATAGATTTTATTATTATAAAAATATAAAATCTTTTGAAAATATTTGTTTTTTAATTGATAAAAGAATTAGTAAAAAAAGTTTATTATAATTATTTTATTAAATTATTTAATTTTTTTTTTTTATTTAAATATGATATTATTTAATATCTCT